ATAGTATCACAAGCCATGGAGCTCAAGCAAGAGATCGAACAATGGCAACCTTCAACCGCATTCTCAACTCCCGAAGATCCAACTTCCGAGATTCAACACGCCCTTCAAACTGCTGAAGCCTATCGTTACGCTACTCTTCTTCATTTACATCAAGCCGTCCCTGAAATCCCATCTTTAACATGTGCAGAACTTGCCAAGAAAGTCCTAGTTTTCCTAGCTACGGTACCGCTTAGCAGCCGCCTCGTTATCGTTCAGATATATCCACTTCTAGCAGCAGGTTGTGAAGCAAAGGATGCCGAAGATAGAGCCTGGGTTAATGAAAGATGGTTAAGTATGGGGAGGAGAATGTGGATTGGTAATATCGATCGCTGTTGGGAAGTCATGCAGGAAGTGTGGAGAAGAAGAGACGAAGTTGCTAGGAAAAAAGAACAAGAATTGATGAGGAAGAATGGTGGTAGAATGGGAATGTCTGGGATGCATGGTGGACCCAGCGATAATATGAGAAGGTTCGAGGAAGGAATGGAGAATGGTATTGGGAATGAAGAGATTTCATTTTCGGATCTGTTGAATCTCAATGAGATGGGAATTAGGGGGCAGAGTAGAAGGGCTTCACCAGTGAGAAACCGACAAAGACATAGCATTTCGGGGCCGTCTCAGGGATCATTTGGGGAACTCATGGCTCAAAGACAAGCCGCGGGTCTTATCACAGAGGAGATGGACCAGGAGTTGACGGTTAGAGGAAAATTGCATTGGGTGGGCGTCATGAAGGATTGGGAGTGGGAGAGTAAGTCTAATTTCTTTCATTTGGTCTATCTATCGTCTTCTTTTACATGTCCACCGTTCGTTCCATACTGGGTATATCTTCATCAAGCTCCCATCCATATTTCCTTCCATCCCCTCCCATATCCATCTTTCAACAAAAGAAATCGTTATCGGTATGATATGTATGAAATAACGCTAATGAATGACATTGAAACGAACAGTCCTACTTGGCTAACCCACAACTCTGCAACCAATTTCTCGTTCCAGCAGCGTCTGATCTTCGGAATCCTTGCTGCCACGCATCGTTTGCTTTGCGCACAGCTCGCTTGTGTCTTTCCCGTCTTTGCTCCTCTTCTAATGCATTTTGCATAAAGGCTTCGTAGGAATCTGGGTGTGGGTGGTTGTTGGCTTGTTGGCTTCTGGGAGGTTGTTGATAGGAAGTTACTTCGTTGAGAAGTGTAGATGTGATGGACCAATTCGTCGCAGAGGAGTTGCGATGACAGGGACAATAACTATTTTGTTCCGAATCGCATTGCTGATATTGTCGCTGAGATTGGGGCGTTCGAGAGGAAGATTGATGACGCTTGTTGCTATTTGATGAAGTATTCTGTTCTCTTTCTCGCCATGACGATGAGGATGAAGCCGAAGACGAAGCAATCTTTCTTTTGATGTTGGAAATCATTGTGTATGAACGAATGGGTAGTATTGAGGAAGTGAGGTTAAGTAGCTGATTTTGGTTTGGGATACTTCTAGGCCCTGTGTCTGTAAAGGGATGTTTTGTACTCGGGTCCTGTGTGGCTTGACCTGTGAATCGCAATGTGATCGATGATAGGGTGTGAAAATATATCCTTTAGCGAGGCGTCTGGGTGGCTTTTTGGGAGTCGAGGAGATAAATGGCGTTTTAGTTGTTGTCGTTGGAAACCGTGACTTTGTCAATTGGCTTTCCCCTATATGGATATCAAGATTGGATTTATATGGTTGCTTTGGACCGATGAAAATGAAGTTCGAGATGAGATATCAATTTAACTTGATATTTACATATATAGAAAGAAATATCAATCAAGCAAGATATGAGATTGATGAATTCCTTGCTACTGGAGCATGCAAACACGTAATGGCTTGTAATGCGTGTAACGAAGAATCTTGATTAGATGGAGTAGAGAAGGGAAGAGAGTAATGTGAATAATATGATGTAGGGAGGTGCTGCGAAAAATCAGAACCTGAAACGAGGTCTTGAAGAACGAAACAGGGCAAAACAAAGATCGAAATTAAGTTGATAGGTTTGTTTTAATCGATTGAGATTCTCGTGTTGAGATGCGTGATTGATGCTTCTTCTAGGATTTCTGTACAATGGTAATCAATGGCAATGATAGTGCGCGTAATGTGTAACACAGAATCGGTGTGCTGTTTGACCGTTAATGGGAATTGGAATTGTGGGAATGCGAGGTGTGGAGCGATAAACGTGATGAGATCTGGAAATTGGAATCAAGGAGGAAGGGACAGTAATGTGAGGTGAAGTGAGGTGATACTGGCTGGAATCAAATTGATATGTATGACCCGTGACTGGTTGAAAGAAGGAATGGAAGAAGGAACTTAGGAGGTGTGCTGATGAAGTTTGGGGAATTGGTGTGTTACAGAGATGAATGGATTGCGATCGATTTTTGATCGGTCGATGCAGAGCAAAGATGAGATGGAGAGAGGCGATTTTATAGGTATATAGATAGAGTGGAGTGGTCGATGGAGTTGTGTGACTTATTTTCGCTTCTATGTCTCGATCGAGAAGGAAGGGGTTAGATTTCTTGATGTTTTTGGATCGCAGACGGATGAGTGATGCGCGTCGGATCAAGTTTGGGAGTTCTTCTCGGGATGCGGGTCTCCGGGTTGATGATGATGGTTTGGATGGGTGGGTGAATGGATGGATGGATGGATAGATGATGGCTGGCCTGGAATGATCGTGTAGAACGTGGGAGATTGATCCGTTTGGTGATATTTGAGAAGTATTCGAATTTCGAATTTCAAGTACCACGGTGTTGAATCTTGTGGATGGAGATCGAAGATCGGAGATCTGATAGATGGCTAGGTGGGTAGGTAGGTGGGTGTCTGGATGAAACGAGAAGTTGTGCTGTGATGGTAATGTGTAAGGTTCAAATTGTGTGTATGTGTATGTGAAGCTAGAATGCGGAGATGGAGTCGGAGAATACAAATGAGGACGTAGGACGGAGAGATGAGAATATTTATCTACGATCGATCATCGAGGGGGAAGGGTATATATACTAGGTTTCACGTGGAGAATATAGATGGGATAGAGCGGGTATTCTGGAGTGGAGTATCAGACGGTGCTAGTCAGAATATATGCGTATGTTTCTGATATAAATTTTGATTGCTCGTCTTACCATTGGATGTTTGTATACACGATTTCCACAGTTTTGTTAAACTTAATAATCGCATCACTAGATCCTTCATTCCTATTCTCTACTCTCTTGGCTCTTACGGACTATGATGATATATTACATCGGTAAACCCTTCTTCGCGAGTAATTACCCCCTTCTTGACAGTCTGCTGGATAAATGAACATATAATTTCAAACGATCACCCCAGATCCGACGCATGATTTGCGCACGCAGTCCCTGATCTGCCAAACCCTTCTCGGGTTTCCTATAAACGTCCGGAAGCTAACTCGATCGAGTATCCCGAAACCTGGGGGATGACGATCTGGGATCTAGGGAGAGAAAACGAGATATGCCGGAATTCGCCCGGTCGTGATTTTCCGGGGTATAATCGGAAAAGTGGACTCGTGGTGGAGGCAAAGAGGATGAGATTTTGAAATGGATGGTGGGGATTCTCTTGGAGGGGTGATAAGATAAGGATAAGAATATTTTTCGAGTCAAGTAAATTGGAGAGATTCATGTCATGACTTATTAAAGAGAAACAATCGGTGTTGCCGACAATTTGGGGACGAAATGGTAGGATTGAGAATGTCTAATCTCAACTCGTACAATCTCTGGTGTAACAAACTAGGTATATCGTTTTTGTACTCTGATGTACAAGTCTTACCATTTCACCCTGCCATGGTTTATGATGTTGCATTCTCAAGTCGTGTTAGCTGAGCTGTCGTTTCCAAGTACCAAGAAACCTGTAGATAAGAACCGTGAGTCCTGAGCCTCGCTCAAGTTGAGAAGTTGGCCGCAATTCACACCTATGGGTTCACATAAATGTTCTTATGAACAACAATATGAATCGTAAATCAGCCTAAAAATCAAAAATCAAAACAAAAATGCTTGGAATGTACATCGGCTTCTCGATGAATGACATTTCATGGAACTGAATAGATATAGTGTGTTGATATATCCAAATAAGAGGAACAAGAATGGTAGCTTTTGATAACGGATTAATTTCTTTTTTCACTGGTGCGCAAGCGTGTTCTGTATCTTGATAGCAGCCAGCTAGAGAGTGTGTGAACATCGCAGATATTCAGATATAAATTCCATGGAGATACATATGTCTTGCAGAAGCTGCGGGCGTTGACTATTTCATATAATAGGCTATCAAATAGATAAGCATACCTACTCAGCGAGACATACTCATGCAAAGCAGCATAATTAAGTGCAGAATGAATGGGCTGAAGGAGCACGCAATATGCACAAAATATTCGACATATTCTGGGGTACAGAATATGGTAAATACATATAGGTTTAACAGACGTGCGAAAAATGACGGATGTTGTGTATGATAAAATCAGACAGATTTAAATTCGCTTTGGTACGATATATTGGCCAAAAAATTCATTTACTAGAAGTTACAAAAAGATATTCTTGATTCAGAATATCGAAAGACTTGACGCGAAAATATGAATCCTAACTCGCAACAAAGTGGGGAATAACAAAATTCAAGCTATGGAAATGGTTTGAGGGTATCTACTGAGGTGAAAAGGGCGCTGGCTAAGAAAAGAGGAATTTGGATATCGTGCGGTCGTAAAATAGCGTTATAGTATGCATCGTCCGTGGCGGATGGAGGCAAATTGAGAGGATAGAGCTTCAAGTTCAAATTTCATACTTGGATGGGGATAGTATGGGTTGTTGGTTGGATTCAAGGTTCGTGAAATCTCTCGTCTTTCTTAATTTCGTATGAGACATGTCCGCCGAGTTGTCCTTGTATTATTCATGGAACAACCAAAGCTAGAATTTGAGGGTGGAGTGGCAGGAAGGGTATGCGTTCTCCTTCCATATTGTATCATGTACTCAGCGAATATGTACTGAGTAATTTCTAGGAAGTTTCGCATATGCGTGTTGTGCCGTCGTTTCCTCCATTTGTTTGTTTGTGTTGTCTTGTCTTCGTGTATCAAGGATTCCGAATAGGCCGGCTTTCTTTTCCTCCATTTCATAAACAGGGTGAGAAGGTGAGTCGAAAACTCATCTTTCTCGTATTTCCCACTTCACATCCTCCTAGCCCACGGGCTTAGATTAACCTCCTTCCTCTTTTCAGCCATCTTCTTCCTCTTTCTTTCCTCTGCCTCTTCTGCCTTTCTACACTTTTCCAAATATTCCCTGAACTCCCGTCCTTCTAGATTCTCATCCATTCCATTATTTATTTTGGATGCCTGTTTGACTTCTGTACATATGCTTGTTTTCCGCGGAGAACTATGGGAACCATTCGTAGAATTGGTTGTGGACGGTGACAGAGGGTTTTTGTGTTCAGAGTTAGGAGTTCTGAGTGATTTGCGACGTTGGTGATGCTTTTTATCATCCTCTGGAGGAGTCTTGGAGTTTAATGGAAAGGAAAAGGATCGAAGCTTCTGCAGAAACATCTTTCGCAGGAGTAAACCCCCGATCAGGCGGGGATATAAAGGTATAGTTATAGATGAATCGTTCGAACAAACTGTTGCAGGTTTGGGAGGATGAATAAGTATTGGCGGCTTTGACGCAGATTGCAATGTTTCGAATATGGACCTGTAGATATTCAAAGTCAGAGGCCCGAGGTCCGAGGACGATTTTGTTTCAATCGTCGAACAGACTGAGTGGATGCTTGGGGTGTTGTTGCTTTTGGATTTGGATTTGGATTTGAATATGAGGATATCAAGGATACTGGCAGATTGAAAGTTTGTTTATCGAGATTCGTTAGAATAATCGAAGGTGCGTTGATAGGTACAGTGAAAAGTTTCTTTGTTTGCAGATTAATTCTCAGTAACGAATTGTAGTTTCTGGATGGTCTCGTGCCTCATCGAGTGGTGGCGCTTCTGGAATCACTGTCTCGATATCAAATTAGTCACAATATTGAATTGTGAGGAGGCGTAAATGTCGGTGTCGTGTGAACCATAAATACTGCTTATCGTTTGCAAATCTGGGGACATATGATGGTGACGGGGTTCGGTGTTGATGCTCCTATCATGCTTTGATACCTTGAAGTTGGAAGACCGTCCAATACTCTTCACACCAGTATATCAAACCCGTTTGTACCTGCGCAAGGTCTCGCTGGAAGGATATCGTCGATATGCTGAATTGCAGCAAAGGTTGGAAATTTAGTTCCAAGATTCTTTGTTCTCCTTGGCCTATTGTCTAGGTGGTTGACGAAAGAACAATCAATTCAATGCTCACGATCTCAGTCCCGATTTCCAATTTGGCTGTAATTCGTTTCTCCTTTCTCGTATCTGTGTGATGTTACAATTCAATCGTTTCTGTTGCTCTTGTTGTACAAATCACTTTGATCAAATGTAACCTCGATGAATGCCCCTTCTTGGCGAAAGTCTCCCCCAGTCCACATAATAAATTTTGACTTGGACCATAAAAGGAAGCTAGAAGGAACCCTGCATTAAGTGGTCTGATTCTTACCCGTTCGGACCCGTCTAGTTGGTTTTGAGTTCCCTTTGAGTTCGGTTGGACTTTTTCAACGCACTAGAAAATGACTAGAAAAACACAAGGCCATCACAAGCCTGATACTCCGCAAATCAGTGGATTCGGGTGGGAATAGTGCACATGTCAACTGTTTTAGCTGCTGACACCTTTCAATTGGTACGATTCAAAGTTTTCTCCAGGACAATGTGGAAGGAGGAAGTGCGGTCGAGAATTTGATAAAAAAATAGAAAATTGATGGTTACACAGGTGGCGATTGGGTGAGTGCAAGAGATATGAAGTGTACTTCGTAAGGTTAATGTAAGATTGAAAAGATAAGAACTTGAGGACTGGCTGAAAGCGGGGTAGGTCTTACTATCATCACGTGTAGGGCAGGAAGAGGTTAGGTAATTATGGGAACGTAGGATCAGTGAGGTGGATGGAGAAGATTATGATACCTTGAACATGTGCACGCATCTTCTTCGTGGCAGCGGCTCGAGAGCGAGCTCAATATTATGCTTTTCTGAGATCTCGCAGTGGCATGCTATACTCCTTCTACCACATATATGCTCATCTCTTTACTCTCGAAACAAGTGAGCTTGGGATTGTACGTGAAGTTATTATCCTTTGAGTTTATAAACCCTAATTATTCATCGTTTTGTATCATCTAATTAACTAGGAAACCTGAAATCTATATCACAGAATTACCCAACGAGGCAACTCCAAGGAGAAGACTCTGAATAATCCTGAATAAATTCCGAGAATTACCTACGAATCTATTATCCCCTATCTTCGGAACTATGTCGAAACGAAACTGTATGTCTATTTCCCTCCAGCCATGAAATAAGCAGCCCTAGAAAACTCCAGATATAAACCTTCGAAAGACTCGACCAATTGACAAGCTCCAACTTCCGAAAAACTCCATATGTGCAGTGAAACCCTTCAAAACCCCCCGATTGCAATGGTCCCCAACTCCGTAGACGATGCATAGTCAAAAATTGCTTGCCCTTCATGCTGGTAACTCTTTAGGTCCGATGGGATCGGCAGGCATCTCATGAACAATTTGATCGGCATGCATCTCATACAGAGGCTGATCAGCATAAGCACTATGCATACTTTGTGCGTCACCCGGTACCATGAAACTCGGACTCATACTTGGACTCATAGCGCTTGGAGTCAGTATTCCACCGGTATGTATACTGCCATTATCAATGTTCGGACTACCAAGTGGACTATCTGTATATCCCGTCGGGACATATCCTTGGCTAGGGCTTCCGGGGGGCTTCGACGACCTGACGGAGTGATGAACAGATTCCGCTTGAGTCGCACTCACTGCATTGGGCAAGTCATGATCTTCAGAGGAAGAATGCCCAGGGTCATATGCAAGTGCTCTGCTGGCTCTTTTCTTTGACTCTCTGCGATGATGAAAGAACCAGGCAAGAAACCCCAAAATTGAGACAGCACCAATTCCACCCAAGATTCCACCAATGATGGCACCCAAGGAGTGATTACTATTAGGAGAATCTGTATCGGCAGCGCTGTTGCCTTCGTCGGTTGGGCTTCCAATTGAGATGGTCAGTGTGCTTGAACTTTTCGATGACATTGTAGTTGTTGGCGTTGCTGACGTTTCTGACTTTTCTGGAGTTATTGTGGTGGTAGAAAAATAGGTGACGAGATCTACTGAGATCGGTGTGACAAAAGTGGCTTCCCAAGTTTGCCAACTTTGTTTATCACTACATAGGATGGATGTATAGACATATGTATCCGATACGAGATACCACATGGCGCAATAATCGTTTCCATCGTTGGTGCCACCGCTGTTAGATTTAGGATGTCAGTATGATTCGCTCCAGAGCCCATTCCAATCCTCCAATCCTTTCTCTTCCAATTCGTCCTTTGGATCTTTCAACTTTGGTCGTGGATTCCATAATTCGGAAATAATAAACCTATAGAAAGCTCACATACCAAGTTGTAACACTTATGTTTGGAACTGATGTTCTTCCACAACTACTTGTACAAGCATGCTTGTCGACACAGACCCCTGGCCAACCACAACTCCTCGGATCCGAAATACCAGCATAGCAAACTCCAAACATTAATCCATATTCGTCGACATCACAACTTTCTCCGGAATATAATTCGAGATCAAAATTTGGAATTTGATAGTTGCCGCATGATTCGACCACTGTTTCTCGTTTGACGACTTGAAATGTCGGAAAATCTACTTTTTGTGGAGGGGTAGTTGGCGCAGGTGCTTTCGTGGAGACTTTGATGCTTGACGAAATGGAGGTTTTGGTTGGAGAAGGACTCTTATACTTGAAGCCAGTAAGCGCAATCTTTTTGGAAGTGACGTTGCTTGCAAAACAAATGGCGATGATGAAAACAAGGATCAAAATATTTCGAGACATCTCTTCAATCTGGGGTTGTGGTGTGGAGATGTTATTCGGACATCTTTAAAGGTCGAGAATGTTGACAAGGTGAAAGAAGGGAAGACGCTACGGTGTAACGGCAATTTCTTGTAGTCGTGGTAACAATTATGCACTTCGAAGAGCTTTCTCATATGTTATTGTTGTGGCTGACCAATAGGCAGATGGGGTTCGAATACCAACAGTTGGTTCGAAGTGATCGGAAATTACACTACCGATGGAGACGAAATTTAGACAAGAACATTCAAAGAATATCTAGATGAGTAGTTAACCTTTTCACGTTATCTAAAGAAATGTTCTCGCTCTTTCGATAACAATCACATTTAGAGCAGAGACTATTAAACCAGATAATACAGCTTCCAACTGATGTCAAACAACAAAGCACAAGTTGGAGAAAGTTCCAGTATACAATCTATCATACTCCTTTCTACCAGGTCACTTCCTATTTGTCTACTTCTACTCATTTCAGGGCGACGAAACTGTGGCTCTGTTGTCAATAGGTAACATTAACTCGAAGAAGAAATGGAGCCTTCATCTCCCCTTGAACATTGGGTGTCTGTGAAGATTCACATTTTTGAATTCACTACTACCCGAAGAACAGAGAAACAAATTTTCAAGCTTTCTAACAAAGATTAATCAATGGTAAAAACAAATACCAAGCTCGTGATCGAAAAAATCTGAGCACAAAAGCAAGAATCAATAGTGAATCAACTTCTAGCAGTCTCCTCTGAGCTTTGAGCTTCTTAGAGTATACACTCATCTCCCATCATTCCTTCTTTCTTTCTTCCAGCTATAATATCAAAAATGAAGAGTTTCCTCTCTATTCTTTAACGCCCGCAATATCTCATGAACAGACAGACCAGGCCCTACATGCTTCCAACTAACAACGACTTCGAGGAATTCAAACGAGCGTCCGCCTTGTTTCATTTCTACAAGTACTGCCTCCTCAAACAATCTTCCAAACAGAGTAGACGCCTTCGTTAAGCTATCTCTCCAGCTCCTCTAATTACACTGCTAATGCATACTATCGAACGCGTTCTCTACGAGCAGACAGAGATGAGTATCTCATCCAAGAAGGAAGCGACTGCAGTAGATTTTAGACGAGACCTGAATCATAAACAGATTAATATGTGACTTCTTCGACAAGGTCCAACTTTACTGCGTTCACGAGTGAGCCAGTTGCACAGTATCGGCGTAATTCTTACAACAACCACGATAAACGTGTATGGATTATGGTACATACCTTTCTATCAACACATGCCCCTCTACAAATACACCCTTTGGTCCGCCGTCACAGCGCCGCAAGTTCAAGCGGTATCTAGAGTAAACGTTCTAGTTTCAGGAAGTAGAATACTTAATACCGGGTTGAACTTTTGATAGCAGCCGTTGGAATATCTCAAGAACCGTAGGAATACGATCTAAGTGTTGGCTTGCACTCGATCGGACGAAATATCGATACGCAATCAGGCAATGTGTGAGGACGACGATCAAGATAACAACTGCGGCAATAAATCGCGATGGCTTGAGAAGCATTTTGGCGGCATCAAACTGGAGATGATAGCGTAAGAACTTCAACAAATTCAGCCTGATATTTGTAGCTGTATTGAAGATGATTGATGCTGGGCGTAGAGTGCGTGATGGAATTTTGACGCATTGCATGAAATGGCGGCTACAGTTGAGACCCGTTTGTGCCGCTCTCAAGCGCAATTAAGACGAGTTATGATTAAAATCCCATAGCGATTTAAATTTTGCAGCGTACACTAACCAATAAATCTCAATCTAAAGTGAGTTTCTGTGACAAGATTGTCCCGGTAGATTGGAACCGAAAAAATAGTTACGTCGTAGGCGCCAGGAGATAATTACTCAATCAAGAACTTTCTCCGACCACGAACTTGAAAATATATTCCTGTTTCATGTGGCTTCTGCAGATAGAAAAACACGATGTCACGAGGATTTCATTTTTCCGAGATCGATAATGGTTACTCTTCCCTTGAACATCAGCTTCCGAAAGGCTCAAGTATCTTATCCAGAGTCAGCAATCCGTTGTGCCTACGGAAGTAGGCATTACATTACACGAAACGTGATCGAAAGACGTTTCAAATGTAACATCAACGGGCTCCCGCATGAATGAGAACATTCTCGCTTCATGGCTGCAGAATCAGGGCTTATCCCTATCCTTCTTTTTTCTGTCGTTGGGTATCTTAAGTTCTGGGCTTTGATTGCACTCCCTGGCGGTCAATAGACAAAAATGATTTCATTGGTTTTTTGGGCTCTGACTGATGGTATCAATGCTTCACTAGTCGTATTACCATCACCTGTTTCGACTACTACACCCAAAGTGCCAATTATATGGGAGAAACGTCAAGCAACCACTTCTGGGGAGACATGTGGGTATGCAAACGGAAACGCAATGTTTCCTCGATCCGCAGCACCTGGATATTTTTGCGGCAAAGACGCTCATAACAGTTTGTGGGGCTTCTGCTCAGACGCTGTCACTGTTGCTGACTGTGGACTATACGGGTACTGTTTTGATAAAGGAGCATGCTCTGCTGGTTGCGGGGTTTCCGGATTAATTTCCACGACTTGGTATGTATTGCTCTTGCACTAGCTATCGGATGATACTGAATTTTCAACTAGCCAGCCTTACTGCTTTTCGGAATTTCTGGTGTCTGATTACCAGACCTATACACATATTACGTGTGCAAATGCTCCAGGCTCAGCTGTTTGGTTTGCGGTTCCCACCATAACTTCTCCCATGCCAGCAACTATATCTTCCTCGTCACGAGCGGCGGTAAGCATATCAACTCTGGAAAGAACAGTAACTGTGTCTTCTTCGTCATTCGCCACGAATCCTAAAGTGCCAACTTCCACACCTGCTATCATATCATCGACCATAACCGACGATCCAGCAGCCACATTCAACACCGGTATAGTTCCAGTCAGTACAGAATACCCATCAAACAGTTCGCCGGTAGGTGCTATCATTGGCGGGGCTCTCGGGGTCTCAGTCTCATTCTTCTTACAACCATCGTGCTCGTCATTTTGAAGAGACGTTACACGTCTACCCCGAGAGTCGTAAAACATGAGCCAGCCAGCGAATTGCCAGGCACAACAGCCAGAGGCGAAATCTTTGAGGTACATGGTGGTCAATTTGATAGGCGTGCCAGTGAGCTTCGGGGCCCGAACATAGTGAGGAAAACAAGTTCTGCTGCTTTTTCAGGAATTTATTGAGAGAACAGCTGATTTTCTGCTCTCTAGCTGATTCAGGATATTGACCTCGCATGATGAGCGATCATCAAGAAAGTGATGTTGATAAGATGTAGAATATTGTGATAAACTGCAGGGCCTCGAATTTCTTATTCAGTAGATTCAAGGGTAGATCGACAACTTGAGATAATTCCAATAACTAGAGGCTCTCCAGCTTCAGTTCCAAAGTATCGTTTGAAGGTAGTGACTTGTAGTTTTGGACCTGCATAATTAGTACCAACTGTTGGGCGGTTGGTGACTATTTTAGCCAAGCACCCAGCTAACCGGTACCACAATAATACCTCTAGCCCTATAGAAAACGCCACTTGCGTTACAGAACTGTGGGCGAGTTTTTTGTTCTTTAATGTGGTAGTAATAGCCGCCGTTGTCGTAAATGGTAATTATCATATTATGAGGGTTCCCTCGTTGCAACAAGTTCGATTTCGGCTTGGACTTTCCGTAATTTTCGCTGGTCGAAATGGACGACATAGCATGGTAGTGTATGTAATTTGTCATTTGAAGATGGATTTATATTTCCTACTTTTCTTCATTTGTATGGGTTCAGATGCCGCACATATTATTACTCCTCGAACAATCATCTCAACTGGCTCCCCTACAGTTCTCAGTTTACAAGCTCGACAGACGACAGCATTCGCTACATCCACTTGTGGTTTTCTGAATGGGAACGCAAATCAGCCACTAGTTGCGAACAGCGGCTCGGAGTGTACCTTTGATTCAACTGCTACGCTATGGGGCCTATGCAGAACTGGGTTAACCCTCACAGATTGTGGATTTGGTGGTTATTGCATCGACGCTGGTCCCTGTTCAACAGGATGCGGGCTAACAGGAACCGATGTAAACACACTGAGTTGGTATGTTCAGCAGCGCTAGATATATTGCAATGCAGTCTCTAACAGAATCTTTAGTGCAAAACAGAAAAGCGCTAGCTTTTGTGTCTCAAGTCTCCTCCTCGTCGGCGCAGATCAAACTTATACACATATGACTTGTGCATCCCGAGCGAACGCGAGCCCACCCGTATTTCTACTTGAGGCAACAACAACTGCTCCAATACCAGCGTCGACTTCTGAACAAAGCTCGTCGGCTGCAACAACAGTAAGCCAATCGAACGTGCAATCAAATCAAGAGTCTGCCACCCCATCCGCATCAGGTTCGGCCACAAACACTGCTAGCAAAGCATCAGCCTCTGATTCGGGTTCGAACTCGATTTCAAAGTCTGTTCCGAACTCGGTCTCTTCTGGTGTCATCGTATCTCGATCATCAGATGCTACATCCTCAAGCGAACCGTCCCCAAGAGAATCCATCTTCACCGTTTCCGGCTCCCTCGTCACCTCATTTTTCGGTCAAACAAATACCGTAGGAGTTACAGTATCAATTACCACCACCGCCAGCGGAGTCTCATCCCCCAGCCCCTCCGATTCTACCGCCCCAGCTCCCGAGAATCCTCCCAAGTATGATCCCAAAGCACTAATCGGCATCGTACTTGGAGTTATCGTCTTTCTCCTCCTCCTAATCTTCACTCTCATCTGGATAGGAAAATATCGACGAGCGCAAAAGAGCAAATCTACTACCCCAACAGCTGAGAGTCCTACAAACTTCTTCTTCAGTAATCTTCCCGAAGTGATGGAGCCGTTTGCAAAAACTGATGGAATTCATGAAATGTATGATGATCACGAAGAGTTGAGAGAATTAGATATTGCAGGGGCAGTTGCTGGAAGAACAGGAAGAGTGAGTGTCAGGGAATTAGCTGCTACGCCTGTGGTGGGTTGGAGACGAAGTGGCAGAAGAAGCGCGAGGGAGATGGAAGGGGATATGGTGTGGGGGAGAGAGAGAATAAGTATTAAGGAATTGGATGGTGGTGTATTTGTGAGGAATGGTCGAAGAGGTGACAGCATGACGCAGGTGTTTGAACTCGATGGACAATCGTACATATGATGAGATATGATTAATGCCATAGTACTTAATTAATGAAAATACGACCAATAAAACAATCCAGAAAGTGATAGGCTTTTATAATCTGCGGCACTAGCCAGAAAATCATATATCAAGGACAAGTAGTATCAGATGAGATCGTCAAGTAGTGCATCATAACTCATGACATTGCTAGTTGTATTTACAAACAGCAGATAGACTCCATAATTCATTATCCCATTATCCAATTCCATTTAACTGATATTCCACTCTTATGCGGTTCCAGTCTGTCAAATAGTTAGTCCTATTCAAGTACGTGAAGCTTTATTGAAGCATACCTTTCTCTGTCCAACAAAGAATCCCAACCCAAAAGTTTCTGTAGTGAAAGTGATCTTGCTTCCCTTTGGAACTAATTCAAGTTAGACTATAAACTTTCAAAGTATTTCTGGTCAACTTACAGTAGAAAACATCGCCCTTGGTGGCATGAACCTTCTGTCCAGTCTCGTCGCTAATATCAAACTCTCCATCAACGATAATCTTCATCTCATGGTATGTATATTCATAGATCAATGGTGTGCCCTTTTCTAATCTGTAGAAGCCAGCTGATAGTGGTGCAGCTTCGTCGGTAGATACCGATACATCACCGAGGAAGGCGTTCTCGTTGGCAATGAGAGGAGGCTTGAACTCGGTTTGAGCATTGGCGTGGTATGTAAATGGGAGAGAAGACATCTTTTCAGTTTTGGATGAGGACTTGGATGATTTAGCTTTACTGATTATAGAACCCATTGTTAGTCTTGATAAATATATAGATCGACGAAGAAGAAGCGTAGATGATATAGTAAGATGTGATAGATGTGATAGAGGTGATATGTGGTGATTGAGAAAATGGGAATATTGAAAATGATCATGGCCGTATTCATACCTTTAGTTCTTATCTTCTCACAGTAACTTGCAAAGTTCTTGAAGAGAGTTGATTCGTGTATATGAAGTTATCGTAAGGTGTGTATTGTGTTCCTGCAGATGATAAGAAGAGTGTGTGTCGAGCTGGAAAGATTCGCTTTCTTCGTCCATGATGCCTTCATCTTATATATCCATCTCTAACTATTAGCTCCCGATGATGCAAAACCACCAAGTTGTTGAGCCATCCCACTGTAGCAAGAACATTTGCCATATGAGGTATTCTCAATGTATTCCATGGACTGTATTGCTGAAATAGGAAATGCGCGGGGTATAATATGCCTTTCTGAGATCTAAGGAGGGGTACACTTGGAGCAGCTCCGGCACAACAAGAAAGCCATACGGGCGGATTTCGGATTCGAATTCAGATTGTATTTTTGATAGGTATCGACATGTCTTAGCTATCGCTCTGGAGATTGCTTGGGAATATGACTATCTGTAGATGGAACGTGCATCGTCGGTATCTTTGTGTCAGAAACCTTAAGAGCTTAACCGGCTGATTGTTTTTAGCTCCCGTAACTGATGGACTCTCATGCAGCGAAAATGGCGAATGTTGAATGAAGGGGTCGTCGTTGATCTTGAGATAAGGAAGCGATGGAAATTTTGCCTGAATGTAGTTAAAATGAAGCTTATTAGTCGCGCCCCATAATTTTTGGTTTGGTGCTTTTTTGTCAACCCGATTTCTAATTCCAAACGCAGGAAACTTTTTACACCAGAATGCCACTCAAGCCCTTCAATATCAATACAAACGAAGTAGATGGGATAATTATGAGAATTATACAGATTTCTCTTTTCCCCTCCAGCAATCTAGCTCGCCAATGAAATTGCTAAAATGTTGTCGGCCCTCGCCCTTTTACCCCCTGACGCCTCGGGCTTTCGCGCCCTTCGCCCTTTTCTTCGCCCTCTCGCCCTCTCGCCCTACGACGTGCAACAAAACTTGAATTGTCACATGGAATAGTTTTCATTGGTTGATCATTATAAACGTTAAGCTACTGATTGGTTTGGTCGGTATTGACCCTGTAGTGTATTGCTGCAACATACCTACTTCGGGCTTCGGATAAAGGCTCATGTTTCAATTACAATACCATCCGCACTGCATCATGGATCCCATGGGTCTTTCGCCCTGGAACCCGTAAGAATATCTGCTTCACCATTCTCTCTCACGACAAAAACATCTTCATGCCTCACGCCAAACTTCTCTTCTAGGTATATTCCAGGCTCTAATGTGAACGCCATGCCTACATTTAGGAGTTCTCCCACATTGCCCTTGTTCAAATAAGGACTCTCATGCGCCTTGATACCAATTCCATGACCAACGCGATGTGTAAATGCTTTCTCGTAGCCGGCATCAGCGATAACATTTCGAGCCGCTATATCTACAGAAGCGCATGATGAATTCGGTTTCAATGCATCTAGTGCTTTGGTTTGTGCTTCGAATACTACGTCCCAAATTGTAATTTTGTGCTGGGCAATTGGTGAAAGTAGCGAAAGATCTTTCGGTTTCGAAAAGAAAGGTGGAAAGAATGTTCGGCAAATGTCTGAAGAATATCCATATAGATGTGAACTTTTGAGATATCACATCAGCTTTAGATACACTCAGGAAGTGAAGTGCTTAGAGCTCACCCAACATCAATTAACACGAGGGTCTCTTCTTCCAGAACTTTACTTCCATTTGGTCCACCATGTGGCATTGCAGCATTCTCATCTATTAGAAGATCAATACTATTCTCCGTTATGTTTTATACTCCCTTCCGCCCAAATGAGAAGTGTGAGATAATTGGTTAACACAAAACTGATGTGCGTCACAAGCCAGTTTTACATGGAGGGAAGGTAGGTTTAAGATAGGAAATACTCGAAGACCATTGTGCGAAAGAACTTGAGAGAATCAATTATTGGCTTACCAAAAAGTACGATATCAAAGAATGGATCCATTCCACCAGCTCGCATTGTACTGTCAAGTCCAAACATGACCTCATTTTCAGTCAAACCCGGCACCATACACTTCCTCATAGCTCGCAATGCTTCAACAGTTCCTGTATTGACAGCCCTGAGGATATTTACTTCACCAACTGTTTTTGTTTGCTTCACTCGTTTCACACTGCCAGCAAGTCCCACCACTTCGAAGCCATTTTCGCCAAGGCCTCTCTGGATGAAGTCTCTCATTTCTTCGTCGACCATCACCTTTGGCACTTGAGTAGACCCTACATCTTTCTTACCGACGACAGTATGCCAATCTTTCAAAAGCGTCAAATAAGGATCCCAGTGTTCCTCCCAAGTAACGATGTACAGCTCCTCTTCGAAAGGCATACCGAGCATTCTTACCCTCCCTTCCTCAAAATGTGGTGCCAGAAATGATGTCTTTGCAACAACTCTCCTCAAACTTGTATCAAAATGAGGTGTAATGATCATGAGAAATGGTCGCTCTTCAGGCTCCCAAACTTCCCAGGCTTTTTGACTAACGTTAGCATAATATTGAAATGTATATCCTGGCTCAACGATAAATGCATCTATTCCATCACTCTCAAGAGCGACAGCTAGATTATCCCTCCGCTGGACGAATTCTGAGAGTGCAATAGGTGACGCAGTTTCTAGCCATGGCAAACCGGTCTCAAGAAATGTATTTACAGAGCATCTCCGAAATTTTTCATATCTGGGCAGACTAATCTCTCCGATAATCAATGGTGGCCAAGACTATTTGCTGTTAGTTAATATTGAATCTATCTTTGAGGCTGTGGCGGACGCTTACCACGAAATTTGGTAGAAGTTGTACGACGAAGATAAGGATAACGAATGCAGTAAAGGCAATAACGTGTCGCTTGGAGAACTGAAGCCAATTCTCTGGGAACTTAAAAGACTGACGCTTTTCCATTTTATGATGAGATACTTCAATGTTGTGTATTTAATTCATGAGATGAACATCATGGCACGGTGCTGATAAGGAATGTTCTTGACATAGCGGGGGCGGGGTATCACCTAGGTGTGTATGGAGTTAAATGCTAATTCCACCCTGATAGCTAAAGACTTCTCCAAGGCTTTCTCTATAAATCTGAAGTCATAACAGCTTTTCGAATAGTAGAGATAGATTCTGAAGATGCTGTTACTAATCTCATGAATATAGTATCTCAAATCAATTCAACAATCAAATATATTTCAATATCTAAAATGATTTCAATGTTTAGAAGGGATTGTATGTTTTAGAGTTTTTGATTGTTGGACTGCAGTTCGGACTATCAGACACTCTTAGTTTGAAATCTGTTTGTATGTTATTGGAGAAGTGTAGCCATTGATACCCTAAAAACTAAACTTTCATGTTTATGACTGTTACCCGGTGTAACTATCTTGGATTCAGGCCCTTCCTCCAAGCTGTTGTTGACACATATCAACTTGCTCTTCCAATAAAGCACTCCTGCATCATTGGACACCTGAAGTGAACTAATGATGCATGTCCCGATGAAAGTAGGTAGTTGTTTACCTACCTTTAGGTATCGAAGCCATGTTCAGATCATTCATATTATGGGGGTAGGAACAAAAATGGCCACACATTCTTATTAGTCAGGATCTCTTGTCGTCGTTGAGCTTCATGGCATGATTGAATTGACAACTAATGAGTCGGTGGTTCACATAGAAAAACACTTGGAGAATATCCGTTCACTGAAATATCAAAATGGATGCTGTCAACATGCGCTTCATTGGATATCTAAACAATGCAATACAGATAAAGAGTTGAAACCCTCATTCAACCCCCTCGAATTAAGTTCTGCTGAATCCTCCAGCAGGAGTGACGACTCTAACATCTGGTGGTGCCATCAAAAACTCGGCTGCCTTGCTATTAGTCTTGTATGATTGGACATGAGCACTCTCCTCATGAGCGTTGAAAGCTGCCTCATCTTTGAATCTGTAAGATCTAGTCAGCTCATAGATCCGGAATATATGAAAGGAAAGAGGAAAGGGGAATGGGGAATGGGTGACGGGCAAGTTACTTACATCATAGCCATGACAACTTGCTCTGGGCCATCACCTGTCAAAGGCTTGGTCTTCGATACTTTGTACATAAGACAGCCTGGCTCGGCATCTTCAACAACTTTGGCGAACTTAGCACATTCGGCGAGAGCCTGTTAAAGTGTTGCGTCAGAGAATGTAAAAAGGTATTCGAAGACGGTAAGAGGATGATTTGGGATTCTATGGAAAGAATGAACTTACTTCCTCGATCTTCTCCGGCTTGGGTGTGAAGGTGACGACTCGGGAAACAGGGCTCATGATTGCGGTTACGAGAGATTTGGATTGTAAGTTGTAAAATGCTGAGGTGGTTGAATGGTTTGATGAGATTCGTCTTGTAGTGATTGTATGTTGTAGAGCAATAAGGTTGGCTTTCTTGTCCTTTATATAATTCGAGGCGGCGAAGATCTCCACATTAGACATCTCTCGATGTCGTACCTGTGATACTAATGCATTGACAACTTGTTAGTAAAAATAGCCTCGGATTATGCATTCTCGAAAGCTGTCCGAATTCAACAATTGCTTGAGAGTCCGAGGAGGTGGTGGAACAGACGTGGCACGGGTCATTGCATGAGCACATTCCCCACAACTCAAGATATCATAGCGGAAACTTCATGGGTTGCCTTTGTTTCGATTCAACCCTTATACAACCACAGCTTCCCATTTGTTGACAGCACAGCCATAGCATGATTTTCGTGTTAAGGTACTCGAATAGTGTTTGATGACTGACTTGTTCTCAAGCACTTATGCTCGGAAGGAAGTTGTGGGGTTCAACACGCTCGAAGATTGGATGATGGATTTCAGCTTCATGTATGAGCGTAAAAAGCAGTAATAGTCGGTCGGTTTTTCAAATGGCCGACTTGTTAACCTTACCTCACTCATCAGTGGGTACATGGATTGAGGGGACACCTCCCGATTTTCAAAATCTTTAACAAATTCATTCTTCAATTATTTGATATTAGAATTCATATTCTGATTGTTCTATCTTTAATAAATGATTACAACAATTCCTAAGATATACAATTTGACGTATCAAGAGATATTCACAAGTCCATTTTGGTAATGTCCTATTAGTCCATACACTCACTGGTGACTCAAGGCCATTAAAGATACCTATGTCACAGAGACTTATAATGATAACAATTTATATGAAAATACAAATAACATAGCATGCATAGTGAATCATGGCTTAATCTATTCAACTTTGACCAAGTACAATGATTGTCTTAAATACTATCAAATATTGCAAAGAGGGTGATCAATAAACATAATAGATTGAGGTGCACGAATATCTCAAGCACGCAGCCTTTGACTATTTTAATCAAGCTCTCTGCACACATATGTTGTTAGTGCTCTACGTAGTTCTTTACGGTCCAACTTGAGCTCAAGTTCTTACTCTTTTTAGTCGATTCAAACTCTCACAACTGATTATTCCACCACGGAAAATGCAATAGGTCTGACCAGACGAAGCACTGGCTGGTGGGACATTCCATAGCCGCAGCTGCGGAAACTTCTACTGCATTTTCCAGTGTGACCAGCATGGCCATTGTTCTTCACGTATTTCTCGATAATATCTTCCTTGGTACCCCAATACAACCACACCATTGACTGACGTCCAGCACCAAGACATATTTCATGCTTACCCTCGATTCCATGGTAGGCAACCTACCGCGGAAGAAATATTGTTGCATTTGACTGTCATAAGCTTTCTTAGTGTAGACTTTGGTTGTGACATCGACGGAAACAGTGAGGTCGGGATAGAGGGTCATCAGATCTTCGTCTACATTGACCTCAACCATCGAGGCTTGAATATGTATTGGGGGGGGCTACCTCTTCCGTCGTCCGTATGGTAAATGTGGAATCCGCTCGATAGTGTCTGGTTCTGGGCGATGAAGCTGCTTTTCTTATCGAACGACAATGGAGAGTCAGACTTCCGAAGCGTCATGTCGAGTCGGACTGTAACAGTAGAACCTTCGGGTAGGGAGCGCGAGATTGGATTTGGTTGAAGTGTACCGACTATCTCGATTTCAGCATCGGCATGGCTCGTGAAGGGCACACTGCTAGTTGTGTCATCTTACATAATATCGTTTTTTATAATAATAAAAATATTGCTAGAACCAGCTGGAATAGGTTCTTCGTGAATCAAATTTGGAGCTTTCCAAACGAAGTTGAGGCAACAGTATTTATTGTTGGTGACGTGGATGATGATTATGATCGAAATAAGGTGCCTATCCTTAAGATACTGATATTCGATCATCCATTGGCTGACAGTGTCATGGAAAGCCTGCCATATCTATCGAACATATCGTCTTTTAGGATGAAGTTGCTCAAGCACATTTGGCCTTACTGCAAAGGAAAGTCCTAACAACTTGTCATTGTCCTGTGATCGCAGAGTGACCAATAGTCCGGACTGCAGTCCAACAACAAAGATTATCAAATCTCCAAACCAATTAGAACATTCAAATGATTGGAGATATTGAATTTGATTGGAGTATTGAACTATTTTCAGATTTCTAATTTCTTTTAGACATTCAAAACCTTATATTCTTGGACTGCACTCCGGACTCTCGGATTCCCTGTGTGGTAGCCATTTCAATCCCAAGAAATCGATTGGTCATTCTCGATGGGTTTCTTACCTGGAGAATTTTGCCTTACGTCAACACGCTCAGTGGCGTTCTCTCTCACGTTGTTCTTTGCGTCTATGTTTGCCTCTCCTGTTATTCGATCCATCTTGTGCGGGAGATACTGAGAAAGACAAATGCGCAGGTAATAAGAAATCTTTCATGGAGCTTTTACACCTCAATGGTAGTGTCACTTGTCTTGTTCTCTTTTGAGTTCAAAATAATCACTCGTATTTTTGGCTCTGGGTTCCCTTTTTGGGTAACCAGTTCTAACTTGGTTTCGTCGTGTAATTACGACTAGAAAATGCTGAAAATATGAAGGTGAAGCGATGGTGATGCCTAGCTCCTCTTTGTGGCTGCTAAATTGGTCAAGCACAACTACCATCACCACCAATATATTCATACATAGTGAGAACCACCTGATGTCCTGGCTTCTTCCTCCTTCAAAATGCTCATTCATAGCGAAGTCCCACCATGCCTAGGTAATATTTACAATTCCTCTTCTCGAGTCCTTCTCCTTCTTCTTCTTTTCTTTCCCTTCAATACCACTCCGGGAAAATAAGAGTTTTTGTAAGTATTACCATTCTTCCTTCGAATGCATCAATCAACTCAACTGGCTTCATTAAGATCATCCATCAATTGACACATCCACCTTAAGGTTTATATGCTGACATTCTGTGATTGCATCCCATATTTTATACTGCAATATGCAACAACTGCTAACAATCTTTCCAAAGTTTCCAAACCCTCATCGAAAATGACCCGCACCAAGAACTTCAACCATCGCAATCGATCAGACCGTGAGAGACAATTGCCCCGAGTAAGTTGACACCCTTCACTTCAATTCATGTATCGTTACTAACCATATATAGAGAGTTATTATTCCTCGAGAGGTTAGCGATAAGCTCGCATCACCCACAATCCTCCCCGCTGTCAAAGTCAAGTAAGTTGTCCTTTTCTCTCGAAAGTTGACACGTGGTTCAGAATTTTAATGTTTTACATAGTTTTTTGAACAGCAGAAACGCAGAATTAGTCGCGTGGAAGACGTTTCAGGAAGCCGTGAGAGCACAAGCAAGAGCGATTGCTGCGTATCAGAACGCCGTCAGTGACTTCAAGTTGGTATGGGAAGAGATTCGAAGTGAGGATGCGGTCATGAAATCTGCAACGGTTTGAGGGTGATTTTTGATGTGTGTAATTGCTATGCACCCCGTTTTTACACTTGATACGTTACTCAAATAGTTGCACTTGCTCAATATGAAATGGAAATGATTTTGCTCTTTGTAACGAAAATGTGTGAGATCGGCTTTCACGATACTATGGTCCCACTATGCTTTCTAAACCAAGCTGCGTTACCTTGAAAAACGACACCTTGTGTGACCGATTCAATGGTCCCAGCTCCGCTTCTCTTAACTGTTTGCACGACCACAAAACCGAGCAGATGGTTGATATAAAAGCACGTTCATCGATTCGCCCAAGAGCAACAACGAGCCAACGAGACCAGCTCGAGAGCTGTACCTGATATCATGACGATCAAATTCTCACACTCATGCTTTCGGCATCTCAACTTTCGATGCTGAGATCATTGCTAAATATGACGCTTGACGCCCATTCCGAACAGATCTATCGAAAGAAACATGCCCACAGTCAGGGCCGGATGGTAGACTTCTATCAATCAAAATGGATCGAGTGCAAATTTTTGGTCGAGATAGGGTACAACTAGTCCGCATCAGAGCAGTTCATCTCTCACATACACCAACCTACGAGAACCTACCAGGATATTGTTCAACCAACCGCCAGTGACTATATATTTTGCTATGCAACTAGACTTGCAATGAAACGCATGGATTGTTTCAGGAAGGTTGCCTGATCATGAGTCAAGAGTCTAACGACTGAGTGAAGGGTTCGCCATCGTTTGGGTGTGTGAGATGACCATAATTTGAGAGGAAGGAGGGAAAAGAAACCCGAAAAAAAAGGCAAGAAGTCGGAAGGGGAAAAAAGAAGAAAGTGAAAAGTCAAAAACGGGAGAAGAATGAAAGAAGGTGGTGAGAAGGCAGGCGTTAATAGGTGCGAGAAGGTTGGGAGAAAGGGGAGAAGGAAGAGAAAGGAAGAGAAAGGGAGATGAGATGGGGATGAGAGGAGAGGAGAGGGGGAGCGAGGGAAAGGGGGATGAGGCGACAAGGGGATATATCTCCGGTATAAAATTTGATACGTTCAGTACTCTCGAGATCGATTCAAGCTTTTGAGAAAGCTTCTCGCGAATTGTTCTTCGCAGGATCGAACAACTCAGGTGGCAGTTGACAACCAGAGAAAAGTTTGCATGGGTTTTAATCGTGTGATTTGGTGTTACAAGGAAGGTAAGCTCAAGATTTTTATTCCCATCACGTTCTAAGCACTGACCGAGAACGAGGTTGATGAGGGAGCTGATGGAAAGTACAAGGACGTTTGCCGCAGCCCCTGAGACAAGACTTCTCTCACTAAAACTCGACCAGATCAATAGCTATAGCCTTAATGCCCTTTTCCAAGATGCCTTTTGACATCCATTCTATCACTGCCGGTAGCAACATGTGGAGATGAAACCTTTCCACTGGTTACATTACCCTGAATTCAGGGTTTGGACTCATGAGTAGAATCAAAGCAAGCGTTCTGAGAGTCTATTTGGCTTTTTCCTTTCCATTTGGTGAATTAGAAGCGGTCCAAATTGCAAGAGATTTAGTCTCTCCGGGCGCTATAACCTCTGCGGTATCTTTTGACTCTTCGATCTGTACGACCACGACTTCATCTTCCTCCTCAAACTCCATTTAGGCCATTTGTCTGGGTATCGAATACTCTTTGTTATCGGTAACCTTCTTTCAAAGAAACAGAATGACTTGTTTTTGAACGCTCAAAAAAAATTCTCCAAGTTTTCCCTGCACTCTTGGGAGCAGACAATTTCCTCAGAGAATTTTCAACGCCTTGTCTTCGCTGCTGTGATATCTTACGTTGAATTCTATAGGGTTATCCAACAGGAGCTCCTTGTTTTGACAGCAGCTGACTCTCGAGTTGATTGAAATGTCATTGCAAAATTTCTCACCGAGAAGGAAATCCAAAGACAATAGAGGGCAAAGGACAATGCTGATGATGGAAATTTCGATGCAAATGGACAAGCGACAGGCTCGGAGAGCCATTTGTCTAAAATCCTCAGGTCCACTCGTCTCCAAAGCACCCACACATACAGACCCACACAACTTGTCAACCCATGGCATGATATCCATACACCATACCTCAATCAACCACCCCCCGACTCCAAATGGAAGTTTTTTCACCCTTCTGGTCAAGCTTATATCCTTCTTCCTTCGTGTTTCTCGAATCTCGAGTCTCCTGCATACCAACAGTAGCTCACGCTTCCGAAACACAATCGAAGTTAGGCAGGCGCGTTTCCTTTGCGCTAGGAGCCCTCATGTCTCTAACTGGTGAATGCCGTTGTCATAGGAGTATGTACTCCGATTCTGGATGCGGATACGAGGAAGTGAAGATGTACCTATCTGAGGTATTGTTGATAGCATGACGTGGACGAAAATTCGAAAATTTGAGGTTGAGGAATTATGCTAGGGGAGAGATGATGATTTAGAAGACTGAAAGGAGAGGTATCTTGATGTGATATTAATAGATTTTATTCTGGGTTGGGCTCATATGCTTCAGGGCCTGTGAAAGAATTGCGGTGCTGAGGTTTCAATTTTCGTAAAATGTTTTAGGGCTAGGTAGTTTGGTTCCGTGCCGAATTTGACAAATGATCCCACATCTTGCAGATCGGATTCTGTAGGTGTTCATTTGGACATAAAAGCCCAGATTTAGCATAATATACCATAATCCAAGTAATTATTTTATTGACCTTTCAACACCTTGAATGTCATCTGTATTCAAGTCCTTGTTTTGAACGAATTTATATGAGGGAACCGGAAAACATAACACTGTCTGTGCTCGCTCTTAACCGGTGTAGTGCTTTTTAAGCTCTCGTAGATTTTATAAGATATAATTAGGCTCGAAAACCTAAAAGTTACGGGAACGACTCTGTATGCTGTGCTCAAATCAAGGTTTCGAAAAGATAGGTAGCTTTAATTGTCAATGTGTATTAACATTTGATTTGAAGCTATTTCCACTTTCTTTGATTCACCTAGCTAGATAGTCACTCAAATCTCTTTGTGCCGTATGTACTCCGCTCCCTCTTCTCACTTTGACGAAGTCTACAGATGAATCCACATCCAAAAGATATAGGTTAAGTAAGCCTTCTTGGAAGTTCTTGTAGGAACTAGTCGGCCGCTCAGGAGCCGACTATTACACCAAAACTTCAAACTTCCTCAAATCTCAACTATTTCCCACAATTTCAACTGCAAAATAACGCTTCAGGGCTCTCGACCTGCAAAAAAAAACTGTTGAGCCCCGCAGGGATCGAACCTGCAATCTTTTGATGGAGAGGACTGTTATTTCTAACAGAAGTCGAAGTCAAACGCGTTGCCATTGCGCCAGAAGCCCGGTTGTTCGGTGGGAAGGCGGCTTTTAATTTGGTATATATTTATGGTATCTGTGCGCCTGAAATTAGCCGAAGGATATCACCTTCCGCAACCAAATTGGGGCAGAATAATATAAAATGTTGGACTGCTTCACGATTGACCTATTCCAATCCACAATTGACAATATACCCTCCAATATTTATTCCCATTCGCTGAACTTTAAACTCAGTACAATGAATGGCGAGATCTGATGTGCCTGGCTCAAGTGGAACCGCTACAGTCGTATCTGGCTTGTTACAACCAAGCTGTGGCTATTCCTAAAATGCTTCCATCTTACTTCCTTAAATCTCACTCATGTATCACGAGAACAATCTCTTGGATCCAATTTCCCCACATTCCGGGCCGCTGCCGCCGACACATATCGGCAGTATTCTTGGCGGCAAATATCCTATATTGAAGAATCATTTTACCCACCCTATCATAGCGATTCCCCTGACATTCGGCAATCTGTCTTAAACCTTCTTCAATTATATTTTCACTTCACTCCCGGGAGCCCCGTACATAATAACCCTTTAATTCACCTCGTGATATCTCTTTCGAGCCATGAAGGGGCGGAAGATCTGTTGCCGAATGTGCGGGGATTATATGCTGAAGTTTTAGTAAATGGATTTTTAATTTACGGACGGATTCCATACTCAGTCTAACAATTCAAGTGAATGCCATGGCCCGACGGGATTGTTATGAAGATTATTTTGAATAGCAATTGCAATATGTGCTAAAGTACTTAAGGTGATATTGTCCCATTGATATTGATCTATTAGAAGTAGTTGTCTCTAATCTCCCTATTTTGATAGAGGTCTCGTTGACGCCATGAAAACTGCTGCAATTTTCAGCGTGCTGTCCTTGGCAGTGGAGTTAGTATACTCCCAGGCTGCAGGATATGCTCAATGTAAATTTCCACCAACATATATTATCATTACTTGATACCTAGTTACTGATTTGAAAATAGGTGGTGGGAGTAGTTGGACTGGGGCAACTACCTGCGTTACTGGATATGTTTGTCAATATCAAAATACGTGTAAGAACCCCATCAAGTTGTAGCTTTACATGACGAAGAAATACTCATTTCTGTAGTTTACTCTCAGTGTATTCCGGGTACTGCTACCACTGCAGTACCGACAACTTTGACTACGACAACGAAGTCCAGTACCACATCCGCCACCTCTGTACCGACAACATCTACAACCTCTAAGCCAATCACATCCACAACTTCATCCTCGAAAACCAGTTCGACGGGAACCTCAACAGTCCAATCGGCATGCACTGCTGCATTCACCCCAATCACTGCTTCCGCCGCATTTGCTGCATTAAACCCAGGGTGGAATCTCGGAAATACATTGGATGCTATCCCAGATGAAGGGTCCTGGAACAATCCTGCTGTCACTGCTGCTACCTTTTCAACGGTGAAAGCTGAGGGATTCAACAGCATCAGAATACCAGGTAACAATCCACTCCAGTCACATCTAATCTATGGTTTCAACAGTACTGACAATATTCATAGTAACTTGGGCATACCACTTTGTGACCTCTTCCCCCAGCTGGACCGTCAATACCACTTGGATGGACCGAGTTGAAACCGTCGTAGATCAAGCCCTTGCTACTGGATTGTACGTCATCCTCAATGTCCATCATGATTCTTGGATTTGGGCAGATGTCTCTGCTAGTGGAGCCAATCTTACCATGATCGAAGAGAAATTCTCCGCCCTTTGGTCTCAAATCGGAACGAGGATGAAGTGCAAATCTAGTAAATTGCTCTTTGAAGCTATCAATGAGCCACCTGGAACAACACAAGAGAACGCGAACGAACTTAACAAACTCAACACTCTCTTCCTTGCGGCAATCAACCAGGCTGGAGGTTACAACCCTCAAAGAGTAGTCACCCTTTCAGGTCTTTTGATGAATACAGTTTATACTCAGCAATGGTTCACCAAACCCACAACTTATACAAGTCAACCTTGGGGTCTTCAATTTCATTATTACTCACCCTACATGTTGATCTTTGACGCCTGGGGAGATACCATCTGGGGCTCTGATGCCGATAAAGCCACCTTGACATCAGACTTCCAGCAATTCGCAGGTAACTTCACGGGCATCCCGACATTGATTGGAGAATGGCAAGCTACACCTCAATTTGTTGAGCCTGCCGCTAGATGGAAGTACACAGACTATTTTGTGAAAACCGCCAAGAGTTTCAATTTTGCTCATTTACTCTGGGACAATGGACTCGATTTCTTAGATCGTACTACAAATACCTGGCTTGATCCTATCTCTATGTCTATACTTTTCAACGGTGTTAAAGGAGTCTCCAACTCACTCGCAGACAGTTCGACCGATTATCTCGCTACATCTTGGAACTCTTCAGCTTATCTCTTCCATAAAGTCGGCGATGCTGTCGTCGCACAATCTGTTCCTTACCTCTTGAACGGAAATACCCTGACATCTATCAAAACCTCCACGGGCACAACACTAGCAACCACCTCGTACAGCATGTCCTCAGCCGGTGTTTTAACCTTCACTCAGGCTTATCTCGCAACCCTCTATTCCGCCACAACAGCCGCCGGCATCAAAGCCACCCTGACTTTGACTTTCTCTGCTGGCGCACCCTCTCAACTACAAATCGTGCAATGGGCTACTCCAACCCTCTCACAAACTTCCTTCACCAAACAAACTACCACAGACCTCACAATTCCAATTAACTATGCGGGACTACCACAAGTCGCAGCTATCAAGGCTTTGAATGCAGATGGGTCATACATGGTTTCTGGTGATGCTTGGACCGTGTATTTGGGACCATTACAGCAAGCTCGATGGACCTGGGGCTCTTGGACGAGTAGTAGTGCTGGACTCACGATTCCTGTTGCGGGATTGACTGCTATCAGTAGCTCATCTCAGAAGGTTGTTTTAACACTTGAAGTAAGTTTGTTCTAAAATTAGTTTGACATATCTCAATTCCCTTTCTATATTACCCCTTCATTTATCTCGCTTCTTGTTTAAGCACACCGAACCCAATACAATACTAATGGCGATATAGTTTTTCCCGAGAATCCAAGGACAGAACAGCGTGAATATTACATTCACATAAGCGTGGGATGACTAAACGGATTGAGGCAATTTGCAGAGTACATTGCGGCGTGTGAATATCTTGAATCATCAAGCTTTGGTGCACATATATATAGTTCCGACCAATAGATTGAGCTTTGTTTATTCATGAATTTAATGCACATATTACTTTCTACCAGAACTTCAAAAATTAATGAAGATTGAAGAAAGATAAAAGAATGACAAGTTTAACCAGAAGTAATTTCCAAACTCATCCTTTCCATTTAGTATCACCATCACCTTGACCTCTATTTACATGTATTGCGCTATCGACATGCAACTTTCAAGAAATATACCAGTGAGACTACATGATTCTACAATCCGTCCTCTTTTTATTTCATCGGCGCCAGAAAATCACCAATAAACATCCACCCCCACCAAATCCACCGCATAATCCACCAATCCTCCCGCCGCATTACTAAATGTCAAAACGTTACTCCCAGCTTTCCACCCACTAGTCAATACCCCAAAGATACCCGTATCCTGCCACCCCTTTGTCCCAAATAATTCCGAACTCTTCCCACTCAGTGGAAATTCTGCGCGTGTCACTACGCCATTAACGCTAACCGTCAAATTTCTTGTATTAGTGCCCGTAGTCCATGAGGTACTGAATGCGATATCGTTATTGCAAAAGTAGACAGAGAGGTATTTTGTAGAAGAAGTAGCAGTAGATGTTGAAGGGGAATTGACGGTAATGGAAGCGGAGCCGCTGGGGGTCAAATAGCCGATTTTGGTTCCGCTAGGTGTACAGTAATTGGTGCTGCATGTTACGTGTGTGGCGGTGCCGGAGATACTCATGCTGGATGAGGAGTAGAATGTTGCGGGAGGAGATGTGATGGTGAGGGAGGATGGGAGGAGAGTGGAGGAGGAAACTACGGATAGGGTGTTTGTGCTGGATGCTGTGAATGAGAGGGAGCCTATGGCGAGAGAATTTGAGCCAGCGGGAAGAGTGTATGTTTTGGAGGCGACAGTAAGGGTCGTTGAAGAGGTGGATGTGGTGTTGAAATGTAGTGTAGCGGTGTAGTTAGAGCTCGAGGTTTGGGCGTAGATTTTGGAAAATGTGACGTTTGAGCTAGTATCAAATTAGTCGTCAAGCACCAATGAAAGAACAAGGAATTATGTTGAATAGACGTACCCAGAAACAGTAGCGTCATTAGCAGCATATGTACCCGCTGCAGTCGTTCCCCCGAGTTCCAGAAGCATCGTTCCATGGGCACCCACAGCCGCAGAATACGAGGTCAGAACATTTGTCGTACTGATACCGGCCCAGACATTCTTGACAGTACTTGCCTTTTGCAGTCCCACATCTGGAAGATTCAAAGTAAGTGTCCTCGCGGTGTTTTGAAGATTGATGACCGCGACAACAGTGCGACTTCCACTCAATGGTCCCGCCCATACTTCGTATCCATCTGTTGTCCACCTCCTTCGGAAACTTGCTGCAACGCCCAAGCTATCCTGGTTATAGCTTATAACGTCTTTGTTACTAAGAATAGCCAAAGAGGCAGAGCTGATACTCGTCAACGGATCCTTCAATGCGGCTCCGATCACCAATGGACTTTTGAGAATCGCCCACAAACTAAAATGAGTTTGTTCCTCAGTAGTGGTGAAGATTTTATTCCCCACCTCTAACATATCAAGATCGAGCCAATGCCCAGGACCGGCGAAAGATGTTTGTGGTACAGCCTGGTTCAAAATTCGTGAAACAGTGGGATAGGATGGGATAATGTCGTTGGTGATGCGCCAGGTATTTCCCATAGCTGGAGCCCACGTGGAAGGAAAATCAACACCCCAATCGCAAATCTGGAAAAGGATGGGTTTACTGAGAGTGGCTAAAGCATCGGTCATGTTCTGATATCTGAGAGATGGAGATGTCGAGGGTGCATAATTGGTGTTTGGAAACCCGGTTGCTGCATCGGAATAGCAGTTATCATCTGAGATTGTTAGCTTGGAACTTCGTTGTGTTGATTTGGATGTGAAGTATACATTTCAGAAGATCTGCTCCCCACGATGCGAAGGTTTGTGCATCTGTCAGTTCGTGATCTTTTGGTTGTCAGCATTCATTTTCCTCACATGAACCTTTCAATTGGGGATATATTCATAGAAGGCTCAGTATTCCCACTGATGCTTTTGGCAATCTCAACCGTAACAATTAGTAATAAACTCACATAAACTGCCCACTTGTGCCGGCGTTCCAGTCATACACATTTGTACCCCAGAATCCGAATATACACCAAAACCCAAGCCCAACCCATGAATGAAAGTTCCCAAAGCTGGATATCCACTTGGAAATAGATCAGGATTCCAAGTTAATGTTCCATCAGAAGCTCTATCAGGCAAAGTCCATCCGCAATCCACAGTCACATAATGGTAGCCGAGAGCAGAGAGACCAAGAGAAACGAGAGCTTGTGCGTTACTATGGATAATAGTTTCATTGGGGGAACAAGAATAATGATTATAAGAGTTCCAACTAATTTTTGGTTAGGAAACTTGAAAATTAAAGTAGGAGAGAAAGGGAGATACCAACCCCATAGGTGGAGTGATAGCTAGGCCATTGTTGATTCGGGGTTTAAGATTTTGTGGAAGCGCAGTAATGGATTGAGAAAGCAAAGAGATAAGTAGCCATTGCTGCCCAGAAAAATCGAGAGAGCGCATTTTTAAAATCAGATCACGATAACTTTAAAAGACCAAGATGGAGATTGCAGTCTGTCGACGATATTTCTAGCATTCATCTACCTCGGACTCTCGTAAGAGTCCCCCACATGCAGCCTGCAGTGTACCATTGAACCTATCTCTAGACTTATAATTTCTCCATCCTAAGACATTTCAACCTTTTGCATCAATCAAATACCAATATCGCAGGATAATATGAGGGGTAAAATGGAGAATGCGGAAAATTCTACAAGTATACCCCGCATCCTCACCGGGACTTGGATGACGAGATGCGCTCCAATCACCTGGTAAAAGGCAATGAACTCCGGCACTCCTATTCTGACATATAGTCTTGGCAGATGTGTAGGCTCTGATGAAGATCATAAAGATATGTTCTTTGGACGTCACCAATTATCCTTCCCCAACATGTCAAGCATTCAGCCGGTATCTAATACTCAGTATGGCTCTCTCGTGAGAAGTCTTCTTGGTACAACACAATTGAATAAACGAACACGAAAATTTCCATATTCTACACTCATCTCAAGCTTTTGATAAGTAGATATTTTCTCTATCACATTTAGCCTTAGAATATCGTAAACCCCTTTTTTTTCCCTTCTCATACCACACTACGACGTAACTCCCACCACGCGGCCCAGCCCTAAATCCTCCACCCGTAATACAACCACTGAAAGCCATGAGCATTACCAATGGATACCTAAGGTTCTTATGACTTCAGCTATTTAATATTATTAATACCATGTCTCATCTTCGTACAGATTTCAGGCTCATGTTGAAGCAACGAGGTTCACGCCCCTGAATGATAATTCCGATTTTTCGTAACCGCTGTTGCTTCGTATTCATGCGTATAGCGGCGAGGGGCACAGCGGCGCGCCCAGAAAGAATGCCCCTGCATCCGTCTGACTTACATGAGATGAATTGTTTCCCCTGCGTCTGACAGATGAAACTCTTACTTTTGATCTCCACTGGTAGTCTGAGCCTGATACTGCATTACACACAGAATGCTTTTCTCAGCCTTATCAGCCACCCTAAGATTCTTTTCACAGTAGGTCGTGATAATGCATAGGAATAATTTGTTGGTGGCTATGGGTTGTACGCTCCAAGGTTTGTGATGTTGTGGAAGTTTGTGGAAGTGAAATTTCCATAGTTTTGTGCTACCAAGAGAAGACTTCATTTCAAGTTATAAAACGAGAGTTGGATTGTAGATTTGCAAACTCACAAGGAGCTGGATATTTAATTACAGTGGAAGGCATACCGAGATAAGAACACATTAATACAAAAGGTAATGGGAATTTGGAAGATTGGTGGCATTTGTATTGAGATTCATCTATACATACCCCTTTCTTTGTCTTTTTGTACTGAATTTAGTCCTCCTCTTTAAAATATATACAAGAAATATGTAACGACATGTTCATCTCCCATGTCTGTATACAATTCGAATTTCTCCGATAACTCATCTCTCCTTGTGTGGTCGATGTTCTTTCTAATCGCCCACCATGAAGTTTAACCATTCATAACCCATCAACGAATCAACTACTCCTACCCGTATCCCGTGCTGAATTACTCTCCCTCCAATCTTAAAATGTGACAAACTACCTGCAATCATGCAATTATGCGATTATTCCTTTCCCCAATAACTTAATCCCAAACGCCAAAACGCAACCCGATGCTTTACATAAGGGTCATTAAGAGAAGAAGAACAGCGATGAGAGTAAAAAGGCGGTAAAGATTGGGCCTAATGACGGTGATGTGTGAGATGAGAGAGATGTGCTGGTGGAGGCATGTGTTTTGTTGACATTCTTCATAGGAGTTGGACAGAGCGTGGTGTTGACCAAAAGGGAGCCCGGTATCCAAACCTATTTTAAAAATTAGCACTCACAAACATTACGCACATGCGTTGGAACTATGCCGACATACCTGTGGCTCTCCGTTTGTCAAGGTGAGGGTGAACGTTCCGCCGACTCCTGCGACAGTGCTATTACAACTCAAGATTTCAATGAGGAGATTTCCTTCGCTGAAATTGGTGTCTTCGATGTAGTAAGGTCCAACAGCCGCTCCCTCGGTACCTACATTGGTGATAGCTGTGACGATCGAATGGACCATCCCTTTCCTAAACACCAATACGTCGTCTGTTTGTTTTATGACCGAGGCTTTGTATGCCCAATAAGGACTCCAATTAGAGTAATTGGTTGCTATCATGTAATTGTTGACGGCATTACGTGCGGTATTCATAGTTTTAATATGTTGATACAGAACTGCGGTAGTATCATACCCAGTTGGATTTAGCCAAAGAGCTCCACGGTTTTGAGGGTCGTT